CCTTGGTCTCTCTTCCATTTTATCTGTGTAGCTATGTTGGGTAGTTATACTTATGTGGGCAGAAATCTTGTTGTAGATGAGGTTCTGCTGGTAGGTATTAGTCATGTTACAGCGACAAAAGAACCTCTTTGCTGATAGAGCCATGCCACCCAGTGGAAATGCAGCAGAGCCTGTTGCATCTAGAAAGCGTTTTTCTGTGTTTGAAAGATGATCTTGGAGACAGGAACTAAATCTGGCACATCAAGCATTTGAAAAATGTCATACAACTCAAAAAAAAAAAAAAATTGAAAGCAGTTGATGCTTAGTTTTGGATAGCTTTAGTAAAAGAAAGAAAAAGTGTTTTGGACCGCTCTTTCTAATGGGGGTCTCTGGGGACCGGTGATGGCTAAAAGCCAGGAAAGACCAGAGCATGGGAAAAGAATGCTACTACATCCATCGGTTTCGGTTGGGCTGGATGTGGTCAGAGGGGGTTTAGAGCTTAAAAAACACGGTGGAGCTGTTTTATTGTGGAAGCTGATGGATTTAGTATGCCACATGTAGCACCACGCTTCCAAAAAAGGGCTTTTCACAGACCTCTCTGAAAATCACCACTTGGTCTTGAACGCTGTTGGTAGAATTAGCATGCCATCGCTGTGTCAGAGTGCTTCTCAACCTTCTTCCAGCCTGCCGCGTGGAGTCTGGCAGGCTTGCTTGTCTCACCTACCTGCTGTTAACTTTCGGGAGCGGCTCGTGGGTGTCTGGGAGGCCTTGGACCCTGGTCTGAAGATTTTGCTGTGTATCGTTTCTGGGTAGGTGTGGTGGAAGTCCTCCATGCCCTCCCATCCCCCTTCAGGATAAAGGATGAGAGAGATTCTGCTCCTAGGTGCCTTTTTTGCAGACACGGGTCGTCTCTCTTTTTTTTTTGCGCTTCTGGCCATATGTGTTCTCAGAGGTGGCTGAGAAATGGTGCCCTGACCAGCCGACCTGCAGCTGGCAGGCTCTGTGCTTCTGGAAAGCGGGGGATGTTTCCAGGGGCGGCAGCCTTCAGAAAACAAAGGAAATCTTATCTTACAGCACAGTGGATGCGAGCAGGACTTCGGTTTGAATGCTGCCGGTTCTGTAGTCTTTCTGCTCCCTGCCAGATTACTTAAACTCCTGAACCCTCCTTCTTCCACTCGCTCGCTCTTTCCCCCCAACTCCAGGAAAGAGTAATTTGAAGTAGAGTTTAAATGTGGCGAAACGGACGTCTCTTGCATGAATCAGCTTTTCTCTGCTCGTATCAGTGCTTGTGCAAGTACTCTTCTAGGAAAGCTTCAAGAGAAAATGAGAGTCCATCTGTTAACTCTACCGACTCTAAAAATCTAGTCAAGGCACCATTCAGTAAATTTATCTAAAGTCTTGAGCCCACGCATGACCAGTGGGGACTTTAAAATGGAGTTGCTTGGAGGTCTTCTGTCTGACAGTGTCTCTGAGTCTAATTTGTGAGCGTGTGAATGCCTCGGGCAATACTTTCACAAATGTAATTGATATTTCTGTAAGGTTTTGATTGAAATTCTTTATACCGGCGTTGGACAACTTGAACGGAATATGGATTCTGGATTTAAGTACAAATTAGTTCATACATTGTCTGAATGTATCTAACGATAACTTCAGTTTCTTTTTTATTAAATGGAGGTGGCAGTACCCAGATTAAATGTATGTTTAAAAAACGTCCCTGAAGTAGGCCATCCTGTCTGCAAGAGGATCCTTGACATGCTTGGCATTGACTCAGTTATGCCAAATGGTGCCAACAAATGTTGCTCTCGTCTGCTTGCCAAAGTAAAAAAGCCACTAAATCTCATTATAAGCTATGCTTAATTACACTTTTTTTCATAAGTCATGTAGCAGAATTGTTGCCTTCACTTTCATGGCACAGAAATATTTTGAAATTATGTGCTGACAAATATTGGGGATATTTGTTGATATTTCGTAGTCAGGCCTGTTTCAACTGTATTCGTCCACTGCTTTGACTTGAATTTACTACTCTCTGTCACTTTTGTGACAGATCATGGGATTTTCTTCTGAGTTCTCCTTTAGGTTTGTTTCCTTTCTTCCTTTTCTCCCTTGCAGCATATGTTCTGACTTCTCCTGTAGGCTTTTTTCAATCTCTTGTAGATCTGTTTTTCAGTTGATCTTATCCCATCTCTCTCCATCTGCCTAAGGAAAGGATGAGTCTCTTGGCCTGTTTTGGCATTGCTTTTTGCTAACCTGTTGGGGTTTTTTTTTCTTATGAATACATTTACATGCGCACTTATGTGAAAAGTTATTTTTGTACTTGTCTCTATATTAATGATTGATTTCCTGTATTTCGTGGGTTATATTAAATAGCTTCTGTGTCTGTATAGGTGAACTGAAGTACAGTGCCACTAAAAAGCACCTATCAACTTCTGATTATTATTGAGCATGGTTCACTGCAAAAACTAACAAACTCTTTTAACATAAGGGGTATCTATTGAAGAGAAATTGAGCTTTTTCTGGTAGGTGTTTCTTGAACAGCTGAGCAGAATATAACAGGAGCAGAAACCACTTCCTGGTGTAGTTCAGTTGGTTTCTCAACTTTAAGCAAATGGTCATCGATCTGAACAGTGTACCTCATCTGATACAAAGATTCAGGTATTTGTACCTACTTGAAGGAACTACTGCTGTTATAAGCTCATGTTGGAGCTTTAACAAACCTTTGGATTCATGCAGTTAGGCACTGACTTCCACCAGGGTGCTAACTTTGTAGATAGGTATTTCTTAAAAGGTTTCTTTAAATTATTAGGTATTTCTTAAAAGGTTTCTTTAAATTATTAGGTATTTCTTAAAAGGTTTATTTAAATTATTAGGTGTAACTTGAGGAGTTCACTTTGTTTCCACAGGGGTCTGGGTTGCTCAGCGTGGTCATAAATAGCTTGGGAAATGAGATGAGCGGTGTCTTGTTGATATGAAGCCATTCAGGAAAGTACAGATTAGGTAATAAAATGGCAAATATAATTCAACATCGATAAATCTGATATAATTCAGAGTAGATAAATGTAGAGTGGTGCATATAATTTCATATATAAAATGATGGGCTGACCCTTAACACCAAGGAATGAAATATTGCCACAAGTGTCAGTTCCGTAGTGATCAAAAAGCAGATGAAACATTAAGAAGTGTTAGGAAGGAAATAGAGGACAAACCAGAACATAATTATGAAACTGTATAAATCAGTGGTTATCCCACATCTTGAATTCTGTGTGGTTCTTTCTTGTCACTCATCTCAAAAGATACAAAAGAACTGGAAAAGCCTCAAAGAGAGGCAGTGAGAATAATCAAAGGTAGGGAACAGCTGCTGCACAAGGGTCAATGAAATAAGGTAGAGCTCAGCCTGGAGAAGGAACAGCTAAAAGAAAATGGTAAAAATCTGTAGAATAATGAGCAGCATGGGCAGAGTGGATAAGAATAGATTTACTGATTTCCTCAGCTGCAAGAATGAAGGAGCAACAACTGAATCTGGTAAGATCCAGGTTTAGAACAAAAAGAAGGTGCCTTTTTGTATAACAAATAGCAGCCCTGTGGAGTTCCTCGCCAATGGGTGTTGTAGGGGCGAGGGGGGAAACTAGACATGTTTGTGGCAAAGAAATTCTTTGAGGGTTGTTATTCCATAGGCGTTGCCTACAACTTAGGAAGTACCTGAGCTTGGAATCATTGAAGTATTGGGGTGTCATCCCTGTTCTTGTTCTTCCCTACTGTCATTGCTGAAGATAAAATGGGATGCTGAGCTAAATGGCCCCTTGCTCTGATCCAGTACTGTCTTAAGATGAGGAAATTGTGTAGATAGTAATAAACTTATAACACAGTTTCAGAGAAGACTCTGGTTTATATATGCGCTGTTTGCATTACGTAATTTATAATCTAATGGAGCTTATAAACCTATTTGTCATAGGCTATGTGTACAAACCTCCGTCCCCGAGACCAGTCTCTGTGTTAAAAGTCAGGTCTTCATCATCAACAAGGAAGAATAAGGATTGTTGGTTTTTTTTTTTGCGGGGGTCAGCTTGGCAGTAGTAGTTGTACTCTTGACTTATAGTTTGCGTTTTTCCTCCTCTTATGTTCCTCTCTATCTCCTACTCTCCCCTAAAACCTTCTGGCTGCACTGGGGCATGTCCAGCTATTTCACCTGCTCTTGGTTATCCTCTCAAGAGTTCTTCACCTCTAGTCAGTATTTGTTGTCAGTTAGTCAAACTGAAGATAACTTCAGGTTTGTGACGTGACAGCTGCCCTTTTGTCTGGCTAATAAAGATTGACAAAGCCAGTCAGTTTTTGTTGTGGTGAAGCTCTGGAAAGCTCTAAGTGCAGTAGTTGCCCTCATGAAAAGATAGCACGTGACTCACTGGTCCCTATTTTCAATGTTTCTTGTAAGTGTTGAGAGGTTAGAAGTTAGGTATGTATTAATGACACCTTTGCCATACCTGCTTTCAGTTAAGGCTAGCCAGCTGGAGTCAGTGAACGTAAATAAGAGCATCCACTACCTCTAGTATGTTCTGAAATAATTGGAGGTAAAGCGTCAGCAAACTATAGGTTTTTTTATTTCTGACAGTAAGATCTGCATGGGGATTTAATCGTGTTTTGTTTTAGGTGCATTAACTTCGCCTGCAAGCAGCCTGCCATAACTTTTCTGAGTCCCAGTTTAGAAAAGACCTTGAATACTTTACAGGCATCACTGTCTGGGTAGGCTGCCTACTTGGTGTGAATATTTGAAATATTTTTTTAGTGTAATGTGACCCACTTACATTATCTGTCGGTCCTGTCTGAGATGAGACAGGTAGAGGCTGGAGACTTTCCTTTTCGTGAGAACTTGTATCGAGAGGAAAGTATTTGGGAAGCACATGTCTGTATGGGCCAGAGTCATTAAAACAAGGCCACTGCTAAGAAGTTCAACGCTTACTGTGGTTTGAATGAGACAAATGTAGAGTTTGTCTCGTGAACTCTTGCTTGAAATACTTCTATTATTTTCAACAAATTTCACTTTATCTTACCTTACTTTTCAGCAAAATGTCTGGAACTGATGATTTTTCGGTAAGTAACAGTTTTTATTTCCTGAAGATCAGCCAGTTGTGTTACTTCATTCTAAAAGTTGACATGCTTTTTCAAGAAGAAGGGGAGCTCACAGTGGAGAGGCGATTTCCTCTGTATTGCAGTTGTGGTGTTTTCCTTCTGGGTAGATGTAGCAATCTGTGGACTAAACATACGAAGCTGCTAGGTGCCTTGTGGGTTCTTTTCTGCTGTGATATTAACAAAGGAGTTGCGCTTTAATAGTGTCAGAATAGCTATAATGGAAATCTATGAAAACCTTTTCTTTCTGGATTTGCACTGAAATTGCTTATTGCTGTGTGGTAGGTCGCCTTTTATCTTTGGTTTTCAAACTGCAGCATGTCAGAATGCCTCTTCTACCTTAATGATAGAAGCTGCACAAAACCGAATGTAATCATCTGTGCACAGCAACAGAGAGCTCTCTTCCTCCCATTTTGGCAACTGAAACATATACGCGTAGTGGGTGAATGTCTGCAACTAGTAAGTCCAGTAGACATTTTACGTTCTCACTGATGCTTTATCTTTTAGTTGGCAGATGCTTTACCAGATCAGTCGCCTGCTAAAACCTCCAAAGTGAGCAGTACAAAACCCGGTCAACAGCCTGGTCAGCCACCGCAGGGTTGGCCAGCTTCGAATCCTTGGAACAACCCTAGCGCTCCCCCTACGGCGCCAACCGGACTGCCACCAAATACGTCCGCTTCCAGCGTGCCATTTGGACCTCCACCAACAGGAATGTATCCTTCAATGCCCCCTGGACCGCCTGCTCCATTTCCTCCTCCTCCTACTGGACCCTCTTGCCCTCCTCCTGGTGGTCCATATCCACCCCCAACTGTGCCAGGTCCTGTCCCACCAGGGCAATATCCTCCACCAAATATGCCCTTTCCAGAGCTTCCAAGACCTTACGGTGGTCCAACAGAGCCGGCTGCACCTCCTGCTCCTGTTGGGCCGTGGGGATCCATGCCCTCTGGAGCATGGGGACCAACAATGGGAGGGCAGTATCCTGCACCTAGCATGCCATATCCACCCCCAGGGCCATATTCCACTCCTACCCAGACTCCAGGGGCTGCGCCAACAGTACCATGGGGTACGGTCCCACCTGGAACATGGGGACCTTCACCGCCAGGTCCATTTCCTCCACCCACAGGATCATATCCAGCTCCAGGACTATATCCTACGCCCCCTAATCCTTTTCAAGTGCCATCTGGTCCTGCTGGTGCTCCATCAATGCCTGGTGGTCCCCATGTGAGTATTTAATTTTGGTCTTGAATTACTCTAAAATGTTATACTTTTAAGCGCGGAAGTTTAGTAGCATAGGACCCGTTAGCGCAGGTAAGGAATTTCGGCACATCTGTCTGTCTTCTGTAGTCGGTGGAATAGTAGCCAGCTTCTTAAACGCTTAACTAAATGTACTAGAACAGTGAACTTGTATCAAGTTGGAGTGTGTCTAAGCATCACGTTATAGTGGTCTTCCACCACTTGGAAAGCCTTCTCTAAAAGGCAAAAAAGGTGGGAAAGCCTTGTAATGATTTCTGAAAGAGGAAATATTCTAGTCTCTGTAATTTAGAGAGATTGCTTCTGGGGCACATAGGGAGGGAATAACAAATTGTGAGGATGAATCTGCTTTTAATTACGAATTTTTGTAACTGTGAATTAACTGCTTTGTGAAAAGCCTGTATTGACCATGAATTATTGTCTCTTGCAGCCTTACCGTTGAATACATTCTGGGCAACAAAATACTGTAGCTTTCCACCTTCATCCACTACTTGCAGAGATTTTTACAGTTTTTGTTTCAGTAATGTTTGGGGCTATGAAGAATACTTGCCTCATGTATGTGCATTTGAGGTATGAAGGAGCAGTTTGCGTAAATTTACCTTGCTCATATGCTAGCATAATTGTTTGGTTTAATAAAATGAATTATGAAGAGCAGAAATAAAACTAACATCTGTGGTTCTTACGTTGGCAAGTATTCCTTGGAAAAATGGGAGTTGTCAAGTAAGGATTATAAAGAATCAGGCCCGAGGACTTCAAAAAACGTTAATTCTTAAATTTCCATGAATGCTTTAAGTCTTGTTGCCAGACTCGTGCTGGTCACTGAATGGATGGATAGGCGTATTTTACCTCTTTTCAGGTTGTTCTAAAATGTCAATAAAAAGTGTTTCAAGGTTTTTGTCAAGAAATCTAATTTTTGACCATGCTACAGTAATTCAAACTAAAGAGACAGAGCATGTGAACTTGAAGGTTTTCTCAGCATTTTGTATATACTCAAAACAATTGCTCAGTCTGGGACTACGGAAGAGAAGATACGCATTCGAAATACTTGGTCTGACTTGTCAGCGCACTGTTCGTGTTCACAAACAGGCATTGATGTGCAAATTAAATAACCTGGATGTGCAGTTAACTTTGAATCAACAAATGTGAGTTTTATGCATGCAAATGAGGACATCATTTTGCCAGTTCTCATTCTGTGGTGGTTGGAAGTTTGGCTTGGTCTATGTAAAGAGAAACTTGATTCCCACTTAGGTAAGGTACTTCCCTATTTCTAACCTGGGTTCTAGTCATTTAAAATTTGACTTTGCTGCCGAGTCGTGTAAACTCGGCAGACTTTTTCAGAGTCCCTAGAAACTGAACTTGAGCTTAAAAGATCAAAAAAGCCCAACCTGACAATTCCCTTCCCGGCAGTTTTTGGCATGGCATTTAGTTCTATCAGCTACAAAGATCCCTCTCGCCACAGTTGAGAACGAGGAGGTCTCACTGGGGCTCCGCTGAGTATTGTAACGGGGAGAAGTCCTCTGTTCTCAGCTAGGTGTCTGCATACCTCACCGAGTAAGTGTAATTTGGGAGCGATTGGAATGTCTAGAAGCCTGTGCGCTGCTGTGTAGCTGTCTCCCTTCTGAAGGGGCACTGCAGTTCAGTTTTCGTATTCTTGCCATATCTGTGCAAAGAGCATGCAAGGGGTTTGCTGCAACGCTAGTTTAGCATTACCGAGACACACAGCCACGTGTCAGTGAGGAGTTCTGGCACTCGTAGTGGTACTTCGTAGCCTAGTCCTGACAGTTTTTCATCCCCAGCTGGGGATGTCCTAACTTAGCCTCTGTAGGTAGAATTAGGAACAAATTTTGCTTAACGTGGTAGCTCATTAGGGAGTCTTTGTATCATGGAACCGTGAAAGCGAGTTAATTCTCTTCCAGTACCTTATCGTGGCTTCCTGCGCGCATGTGATGGACTTAAAAACAAATGGGGTGACCTGGTGGTGATGATGCTTGTTAGTAGTCTTAGCCTTTATGGCGAAGTCCTTGCAATACTTTTGCAGAAGAAAGCGGTCAGCTTAGCTGTGGCTGTTTTAATCTCATCTGAAAGCTGCTGATACTTAAAAACAAATGGGGTGACCTGGTGGTGATGCTTGTTAGTAGTCTTAGCCTTTATGGCGAAGTCCTTGCAATACTTTTGCAGAAGAAAGCGGTCAGCTTAGCTGTGGCTGTTTTAATCTCATGTCCTGAAAGCTGATAGCAAAGGTATGTGTATTTTTTGTTTTAGGAAGACAGTACTGGAGCTGAACAAAAATGCTTAACGTTTCAGCTGAAAACCTAGCATCTGTAACCCTAGAAATAGGAACCAAAAGTGCAAGTCTTCACTAACCTTAAACAAGCCCCAGTTGACATTCCCCCTGTGTGTCCCCCCCCCACAACAGACTTGGCTTAGATCTTGGCAAGACTAATTAAAAATTAACGTAAGAGAACATCGACTACATTTGCTCAAGTGCTTTTTTGATACCTGCAGCCTTAGATTATAAATCCGTGTAAGGAGAAAGCATTTATTCCAAATGGGTGGACCGTGCAGTAGCAGCACTCCAGTTTGAAGTTGCACTGGCCATATGTCTTTGCAGGGAATGGGAAGAGGTAGGAAAGGATAAAGCAAACGTAGCAAGTAATGATTTTTGGAAAGGGGATTTGTAAAAGTAACTAGACTTCTAGGTTCTTCCTGAAATAGGCAGGATTTATTACTGGAACATTTAGGCTAAAATTCAGTATATATGGGATGTTTTTCAATGTATATTCGTATTTCTTGAGGTCATGAAAACTGTTTCATAACCCCTTTGTTTTTGTGAGCGAAGTTCTTTGCATAGCAGTGAAAAGGGTATACCTGTTAATCTATTGTGTAAAAACTCAAGTTGTCACTATATACCGTGTAGTAACTTTATCACATGTTATGTCAAGTGTGAGCAACTTCTGGCCTGAAGCTTTTGCAATGGAATTTGTACATTTCTATGCATCATCTGAGTTAAATTGCTGAGAAGTTCGTTTTGACTTGTGCTTTGAGATTGACATACTGCATTTGTTTACAATATGAAATATAAGCAATCACATCTTTAAAGTATAGATTATCACCTGCTGCTGTATTTTCTTTAGATGAAACAAATATTGCTGTATGATAGTGAGAAGCTATAAATACAGGATTTGATATTTTTTTGAAAATGCTGTCACTTTTGTATAAGATTAGACATTAAACGTATTTTCAAGACTGTCGTGTTTACTGTTTTTCAATTACTGCTTTTGACATGCTTGTGTAGACTTTTGCCTTGAATGAATAGTAAAAATAGGACGTCCTTGATTTGCAAAGACCCAATATAAAATCAGAATTGCTTGACTTCTGTGAGTGTTTTTCCTCTTCCTTTTGTGATTTTTGCAGCCTGTGCATAAGGCATCTGAAGTGTGGATGCGACCATTGCTATATTGTGGCACGTCAGCCTCGGGTGTTGCCTGTTCACAAACTGCCTTGTTAATTAAGAGAAAAAAGATCTGATCTTGCTTGTTCTAGGGGAGGAATGGGACTTATTCCTTACCTGGCAAGAGTGTGGTGTGGTGTTTTTTTTTTTTCCTGGCTGTGAACAAGTCCTGTGCTAGACTGACACACGTGGATGTGGTAAGTGACCCGCAAACCACTGTTTTTATATGCTTATCGGGAGTTTGATGGGATCGGGTGGATAACAGCAAAACTCCAGGGCTTGGCAGCAGCGTGAACTACAGAGTTTGGGCATCGCTCACCTCTACGTTTACATTCTTCATATATAGTGGCTTGCAGAACGGTTTCACACTGAGCTGGCCAATGCTGCTACCTTCACCCTTTCAGGAAGGTAGAAAATGGCAGCAGCGAGCGGTAAAGAGTGGAAACAAAAGTATTTATCCACTTTAAGGCTTAGAAAACAAGCTGCTCTTAGGCCACGTGCCCTGAACGTAATCCTTGGATCTGTTAATCGAACAGTACAATGCGTGGCCAGTGCTCCGTCTTGACAGTGTTCAGCTATGGGATTGTCTGCTCCTCTGGATTCCTCATATGAATTGTCTTTTGCATTGGTAGAGATGAGGACACGGGTCTGCAGCTCAAATATATTAACTGCTTACTGCCCTGCAGACCCAAAACCAACTTGGATCGGATTTGGGGGGAGGGGGCATCTGACAAGTGATCCCTACGCAATTCTTAGGGGAGTGTTTAGCTTTGCAAAACTATTCCAGGGGTCTGGCAACGCGGCGAGTATGTGCGTGGTTCGATCCACGACGTAGGAAGTGTTCGTTCTGGCCTACTGTTGTGAAGGCGGGCGCCTAAACTCCCTCCAGGCGAGGTCCGACCCGTTTCTGTGCAGGGGCATTGATTCACTGCCCGGCCTGTTTAAAACTGCCCCCACGCTGTCCAAAGGGTGGGATGTTGACACGAAGGTTGTCTTTAGCCTCTGTGTAGCCAGAGCCCTTAGGCATCTAAGGAAGGACAAAACTTTTCATAACGTATGTTTCTTAATAGTGGCTTTCCTATTTCTGACGTTAAGCACAAAATTCCAGTTGTTAGAATGCAATGCCGTACGCTTCAACAGCCGTTACTCACCAGGCACGTAATAAATCAGTAGTTAAGCGTCATCTGGCAAATCAAGAAATGCAAGCTTCAACTTCAATATAAGCTTCTCATCAGCTACTACGTGCTGCAAGATTAACTGTCCCCGCGTTACACAAGGTAGCGTGCTGACAGCTAGAGAAAGACCTCGACCGGCCTTGGATCCGGCCGTGCTCTGTGGGTGGCTGTGGGTATTTGTGACGTTGGGGGTCGCCAGCTCTGGGCTCCACCCGGGAGCCACCGATGCCTGGGTGGATGCGCTGCTGGTGCGCGGGCGGGGGCTGCAGCGCCAAGGGTCGTGGTCTGAAGAGGGGTGATGGCTAGACAGACGCGGCGTCTGCATCCTTCGCTTCGTCTTTGGATCCGGTTTTCCCAAATACATTTTTCAAGGTGGTTGTAGTGGGAGGATCAACTATAACTTTTCCTCTGCCCTCACAATTCAGCGGGATTTGAATTAACTTGCTCTAAAAACGTGCATGTGTGCACGCGCCCGGTAAGCTGGTAACAGCAAGGTAAATTTTTCTTTTTTTGGTCGCTCTTGCCTGCAGAATCTCTCGGGTGTGTGGGAAAGCCGAGGTTAAAAGCTGTGTGTGCACCAAGGCGGTACGCTGTTGAAAGCAGGTACTTTTGTTTCAGAGATCCGCTGATTGTCCACGCTGACCCGTTTCATGACAGTGAAGACAGCAGAACGGGGACTTTGTATCCTCCGTGCAGCAGATCATAAGTTATAGTTAAGTTACAAGTTACACCTAGATAAGGGGTAGCCAACGTAATATTACAAACGCTTCAGTTCTGTAGTATCGCTTTCCAAAGGGTACCCTCCCTGCTAAATGAGAGACTGAGAGATAAAATAGCCGTACCTGTGCTTCTGTCCTCTTTCCAATGTTCTCATGACGCTCAGCAGGGCCGGGCCGTGCCGAGAAGTGGGTTGGCACGCCTTTGGGTTTCATTTCGGCTCCTAGTTCTGTTGTCTGCACAAGATCTTGCCTGCTCTTTGCAGGTTCACGTTCTTGTGGTTAGGAGAGGGAATTCTTGTAGCGCTTAGCCCTTAAACTCTTGCATCAAGCTGTGCCACCAGTCACTGCGTTTGTCTGGCTTGGCAGTAATGATGGCTTAATCTACATCTCCCTGTCTCTTCGCCCCTCGTCCCTCTGCCGCCACCCCAGCTGTCTTTAAACCCGGTAGCTTCTCTGATACGACCCCGCGTGCATCCCACAAAGAGTTCTGCTGACATGGGGCAGAGCAAAAAGCTGGAGAGCGCGGTGTAAACGGGCCCGTGGCCTTGGTGAGGAGACGCTTGTGTCAGGCTGTTTGTCGGGGGGAGGATGCTCATCCAGAAGAGGAGCTGGAGCGCGTGTCCACCGTAAGCGTTTAATTTCATGCTCTCCAGAGAAACTCCTTCCTCTGAGCTAGAGAGGGATCCCAGGGAGGATGAGCTATTTAAATTATCAAAGGTTGGATCCTGGGGGGAGGTTGGGTAGAAGTCGGGTGCCCTGCTGTGCCTTACCCTGTTACTAGCTGTTTCTGAGTGACACTTAGGCTGGGGCTGGTGTCCTCGGCGTGAAATGGGGGGAATTATTTGTAGTTTGGGTTTAAAGAGGAAAACTTCCTGCTGGTGGTGGAGATCACGTCCTGAAGCGAACCCCAGCTTGTATTGCTGCAAAACTGGATGGTGGCATGAGTTTAAGGAAGAGAATCAGACCAGCAATAAGGAGAAACTTTTTCAGCGTGAGGACAGTCGAGCGTCGGAGCGGGTTGCCCAAAGAGGCTGTGCAGTTTCCATCCTTGGAGGTTTTGAAGGCCGGCCTGGATAAAGCCTTGAGCAGCCTGGGCCGAGCTCAGAGCTGGCCCTGCTCCGAGCAGAGATTAGAAACCTCCTGATGTCCCTTCCCACCGGAATCACCCCATGACTCTAAAGAAATTCGCTGCTCCGTGTCTGATTAAAAGCAA